AAGGCTTTTATACAATGAGATCCCACTCCAGCCCATCCCTTTACATCTCAGTGCAATGAATCTAAAGAATGTTTATTGTGCTATAGTTAGATAGCCAAAAGCTACAGCACTGGGAGTAGAAATCACTTTAATCAAAATGTAGGGGTAAAAAAAACTCAGCCTTAAATACATGTAAATACTGCTCAGTACAGCAGGCACAACATTAATTCATTGTTTGTACTTTGTGAATCAGATTAATTGTCAAATGCATAATAAAATGCTCTGGGTATAAAAGTCAAAGTGTGTTTCATTTGTGCTACATGTGAGTATGAAAGAGCAAAACAGCAAAAAGACACTTGAACATACTGGAATTTAACATTTGATGATGAATCCCTTCCATTTTATAACTCTGAGATTCAAGCAGGGTTGCAAGCATGTCACTTTAAAAGCAAAAAAGAAATTGGTACCTTTCCTGTGCATATATGACAATAATGATCATTTGATTAATGGGATATGCTTTTTAAAAAGAGAAAAGACAATATCAGCACTAGAAGATGTCAGATTAAACAAGCAAGGCTTAATATATATATATATATATATATATATATATATATATATATATATATATATATATATATATATATATATATATATATATATATATATATATATATATATATATAGATATATATATATATATATATATATATATATATATATATATATATATATATATATATATATATATATATATATATATATATATATATATATATATATATATTATTATTAAACTATATCACAGACCTTTGAATGAGTCAAAAACCATTAATGTATGAATAAAATTAGGCAACTGACCAGCTGGGAGATCCTCCCTTTGTCTGGATCCCAACACCCTTATCATTACATTTGATGAATCAATTAGAAAAACAAGCTATAACGGGGCACTGGAGGTATATAAAAAAAAAAAAAAAAAAAAAAAAAGCAAAGCGATATTGAATGTGTTTTCTTTGTTTTTGCTTTTTCTTGTTTCTTTTTATTTTTAATTCATGAGGTATTAAGGGGGTTGGTAGGGTGGTACATTCTAGACTTCTAAGACTGCAGTAGGGAGGAATCATTCTTTTTCTAATCAATAATTTATTCTTTTCAATACAGGCAGCTGTGCATTACTCAACAAAGCCATAGAGATGTATGGGAGGGACAAACACAAAAAAGCAGATACAGCAATATTTATCTCATTAACATGCAAGGATGTACGAGACAAGAGGGACGAAAAAGGACAGAAAAAAAAGAGAAAAAATAGGCATGGTTTAATTTGTATAAAGGGAAAGCTTTCAGGTCTTATTCTCACAAGCTTGACGAGGAAATTATCTTGACGTGAAGTAATCAGCACCTAGAGATTTTGCGAAGAGAGAGTCTGCTCATTCATATCCACATTGGTGAGAGCTTGTCCAAAGGCAACACTGAAGCATACACTCCCTGGGAAATATTAACTGCATGCACTGGCGAGAAAGAATGCATAATGGAGGAATAGACAAATCCACTGAAGATCTTACATGGCATAATAATGGAAGTCAAATCTTCCTTTATACTTTAGATAAGGATTAGGGAAAGTGTGACAACAACAAAGGAGAAGAAGACTCCCCTGCCGGAGTGTAACTATATAAACGTTAACCAACTGAGTGTGAGGAGTTGATTTAAATCCCAGAGACAGTGAAGGAAACCTCATCCTTTGCAGGCTAAATGTTTTATCATTGGGGAAATTTGTATAGGGGAGGATGTTCTTTTTCCGGGTGGATCATCAAAATAAGTGGTCCTCCTAATTGTCAATCATATGTTTACATAAGGCTGACCGTGATCATCTCCATGCATATAAGAGGATAAAAATCCTCCACTATACCTTCAATGCTTTCACAAGCATTATTCGGGTTTTTAATATATAGCCTAAATGTACTAAGCTAAATTAAGGACCATAAATTAAAAAACCTAAAACAAGTACATTTCTGTTACTTCTGCTTCATTAATAAATAATAGTTACAGGATCACACCAATGAAACACATTGTAAGCTGTTGACCACAGTTTTTTTTCAGAGAAAAAAGAATGTACTTATATGCTATGAAAAATTGGGCACAGTCTCTAGGTGTAATTTTGTTCTATATGTGTAACTTAAAAACTCTAACTATATGCTGTACTGTAAATTATCTTATGAAAAGTTCCTGAAAAACAGTGGGCAAGGGAATTACTGCTATTTGCACATAAGGAAATGCACACAGACACAAATGATTATTATAATTTAGGACTGTCTAAAGATTAATGGGGGGAAAAAATAGGAAAATCATTGCTATATCGTCAGGAATAAAAGAATAAATCACTGCCCGTGTGCTCCTGAAATACTTGGAGTGAAGCAGGTGCCATTCAGTACATTCTATAATCCTTTTCCACTCAACATCACCCCTGGTCACAATAAGGGATTATCCCTCACCCCTCATCTCTCTGTTTCCCCTCTCCACCCCTTTTATTTTACACCGTCTCTTTTCTCCTTCCCTGCCGCCCCTTAAGACTTATCTTCTTCTCTTCTTAATGCTCTTCACCTCTCACAGATAGATGTCACATGTGTCATTAGAGGATCAATAAACCATTACCATTGAATCTTTAAATAAAGATATGTATTTACTTAAAACAAATGAGATAAATATAAACCCCTTCACTTCTAGCCTCGGTGGTTTTGGAAATGGTATGGAATAAGCAGAACCACTGCATAAATTGCAAGGAGGATAACCTTAATGAGTGCTATTTCATGCATACTGACTGGTGAGAAACATAATTAAAAGAGATCTATAGAAGTACAACATTTATGATAAAAGCCCATGGACTAGAGGAGGAGATTTGGAGGAGCTAAATTTAATTCATTTTAAGGTGAACGTGCTCCAGCAATTATTCAGACATAATTTTTACAGCTAAATTGACAACCATATTGATTTCTCAAACAATTTAGAGCATGATTTCCTTCATTATTAATCTATCATGGTTGCAAAGTCAGTCTTTTAGGGAAATAGGCCTTTTTTTCATAGAAAAATGTCCACTTTACTATTTTACCCATAATAAAAACTCATGTTAAAGCAGACTTAAAGGCGTGATCAGCAGCTGGTAATGCCTCTGGTCCTGATTGCAAACAGAAAGCATGCAGATGAGTGTAACCTGCACTCTGTCCCACTTGGAATAGGTTGTACTTGTTCCAACTCAGTCCAAACAAACAATATGTTCACTGGCAAAGTACCAAGAGGAAAGTGGGTAGGTCTGGTGTAAAGTCATGTCTATTGAAGGTTGGTTATTTGACAATTGTGCAATAAATGTTGTAAAACTGAGGGAGGGATAATGTCCTCTTTGTATTGCTGTGAAGACCACTAACCATTTTAGACTTGGTGTATGGATGTCCGAGTTAAAGACATGGGTCCTTTTAATGAGATGGATGAGAATCTGTCAGTGAGTATCTCTACAGAGCATACAGTAATGTTCCTGTACACAGTGTCAGTCAGTTGACTGGTTATGGGTATGATGACTACACTATTTTCCTCACTTTTAAGGCTAAGTATACCCATTAAAAGGTTTTATTTGTTTATTTCTTCAGTGTCTACTTGCAAATGATCAAAGTTGAATGATTTTGGTTTGATTAGGGATGACACTGTCATATTGCAAAGAATTCCACTGTTTCAAGTATGGATCAGAACCAAAGTAAATTAAATACTGTGATGTGTAGGTATTGAGAAACATACTATTAAAGTCATATAGGGTTCCATGGTGGCGCCATTTGCAGCACTGTTTCATTGCAGCAATAAGGTCCTGGTTTCAAATCGTGGCCTAGGAGTTTCTATGTTGTTCCTGCACATCCGTGGGTATTCTCCAGGTACTCCAGCTTCCTTCCACAGTCTAAAAATATGGCTTTTTAATAATTAGATAAACTGACATCCTTCAAGTTTCCCTTAAGTGGTTGCGTGTCTCTGTGTTGCCCTGTGACAGAATGGCAACCTGTCCACTGTATTTCACCCATAGACTGCTGGAGATGGATAAGTAGGAGAAGATAGAAGGTTTACTAAGGGTTACAAGTACAGTAGAATGAAAGGGTTAAGCTCACTAATTAATTAATCCACCAGATTTCTCTTTTGATACTTAGAATTTTAAGCTCTCAAAGATCCTCAGGTTTATTTAAATTAAGTCTCCAAGGGTTTTTAACACATTAAGCACATTTGTTTATTGATTATCAATTGGAAATATAATATTACACAAAATTTTACAGTTATCTAGCCATCTCTGGAAGTAATCTCCTTTTGATCTTCTGGTAAAAATACATTTAAATATAGGTTCATTGTAAATATGAAATAAATGTTCTCTTCCCTCACACATGAATTCCCACAATCATAGGCTGCTTGGTCTTTTCCATTTTTAGATTCAACTTGATTGGCAGGTCAGCAAGGATTGCTTATTCAAATGAGGAGACAAATCAAGCTACTTTCATCTGTACTGAAGGGAACCTTGCATGGTTAAAGTGGAATTTATGATATTAGTCTCAATGGACTATGTAACTGGCATTAGCCAGAAGACAACACTTTATTTGCATAATTTTTCTGAGACATTATTTTCTTTTCTTGATTTTGTCCATCAGTTAAATCTTTGCTTGTCTCCAAAACAATTCCCCCAAAGCTTTCCTTTATCCTAACCTATTCTGTTTCCATGCTTCATATTATTTCCATCTGTCACAATGTTATTTGTTCTTTTCTCTCTCTTATACCCTAGGTAAAATTGCATTTGTATTTGAGTCACACATAACCCAAAATTGTCTCCTCAGTTTGAAAGAGGTCTCTGCTATCCAACATTAAAATATAAAAAGGAAAACATTTCTTCAAATCAGTCCCATACAAGCAACACAAAACATTCCTTCATTCATCCATTACTTCATAAGATTGTTTGAGTGTCGGTCTAAACATTCACTAACAAATTTCTAAATCTAGTTAGTGCCACATACCTTGTCAGCCATGATCATGGAAGACCCTCCATGGATGCCCAAAATGGGTATGAGTGTCTGTGATGAAATAAAATCCAAAATCTGGGCAATGGCCTCTTGGTCAGTGCCATCCCCGAACACCACGCCATGGATCTTGGTCCCTGACATCAAGTCGCACATGTGGGTGATGATGCTTTTGGGGTCAGTCTCGTTGACCAGTAGTGTGACCACATTCACATCGATAGGGTCCTCTTTGCTCCACAGAGCACGTATGTCCCGGTCTGAAATGTAGCGCGTGCGCCCGAGGATCACAGCAATGTTAAGTACTGGCACTTTCTCTGAGCCACCACCAGTACGTTGCTTCTGGGCTGCCACTGGGTCTGCCATGACTGTCACCGCCACTAGAAGAGCCAGGGAGAGCAGCACACTTTTGCCTCCGCTGCCATAACTGCTGCTCCTTCTACTCCTCCTCTTACTCCTTTTGGTGCTGAGGGACATGATGCTAAACCACTTCATCCCCTGCATGGAGAGAGGATCATGGGGAGCAGAACCAGATGAAGACAGATCAAAGAGTGAGAAAAGGAGTGGAAAGATGGTGGTGAGAAAAAGCAGAAGAGATAAATTGTTAATGTGCAATTCATGTAGCCCACACATTGAAGTAGCATTTTTTCATATTCAGTTTCTTCTCTGCAAGGTTTATTGAAAATCAAAACCTTGCAGGGAGGGAGATGGCCTTGGGAGGGTGTTGAGGATGGGTGAGAGGAAGAGACGATGACTAACAAGTTTACACTTTATGATCACGACTGCTGGGATCTGAGGATTCAGGTACAAGCTGTGCTTGCCAAACAAGTAGAAGGACATTTCTAGAGCTCATAATTGGTTCTTTTTCTATGATTCACAAAACATTTAACCACAAAAGACAATGATTTGATGGACATTTCAGATACCTGAATAAAGATTTAAACAAAGCAGAAACTATGCTATTGGCATTGATCCTGTTTTTGCAAATTTGTAATTTGTATGTGTTAAATACACAAAAGTTGTAATAAGACTGAAACTTAATTCCACCAAAATGTACTAAATTTTGTTTTGAACATAAAAAGAACTCAGTGAATGCAATAATATTTATTTGATTTTTGAAACAGAGATCTATATTGTTAAGAATTGCATGTAATTTAAGCTGTTAAATTAAGGGCCCACAATTATCAAATGACAAGTCAAAATATTTTGTAAATTTCCCAACAAATGAGGGTGTTTAATGTTATTTGGAATGTATATTGCATCCTGCCTATAGCCTGAATACACTGTATCAGCAAAACATTTAAGGCATACAATCTTTCAATGACTGTTGGGAAAAGCACCTATTCAGGTTTAACTGGACCTGGAGAGAAATCAGTCCATCAATCTTGGCTTGATTATTCTCCAGCTTAAGGACTTGGTTTTCTGACACAGAAAGGGAAAATTTGAATTAAAATTAAATAAAAGCACTAAGAATAAAAAGGAAAAATTTAAGTTACAGTACAACAAAATGGGCTGCTCAGTGGTGCAGTGGGTAGCACTGCTGCCTTGCAGCAAGAAGATTCTGGGTGTGAATCTTGGCCCTGGGTCTTTCTGCATGGAGTTTGCATGTTCTCCCTGAGCATGCATGGATTCTCTCTGGGTACTCTGGCTTCCTCCCACAGTCAAAAAACATGACTGTTAGGTTAATTGGCTTCTCTAAATTCTCCTTAGGCGTGTGTGTGTCAATGGTTGTTTGTCTCTGTGTTGCCCTGCTATGGACTGGCGACCTGTCCAGGGTGTACCCCACCTCTTGCCCGTAGACTGCTGGAGATAGGCACCAGCACCCCTTGCGACCCCACTTGGGATAAAGTGTGTCAGATAATGGATGGGTGGATACAACAAAATACATTTTCAAATGAAATTTATCAAAACATTAAACTGAGTTAGAATTTAGTGAAAACAATTTTTAAACAAACACATTTAACTTCAAAAAACATGAATACAGATTCAGTCCAGGCAATTAAAACTTAGCTTCTGATAGTCGGGTGTGCAGAAAGGGGTGGAGTGAGTTTGGACTTAGAACCCGTTCATGACGACTGCACTTTTAGATTTAATATATATATATATGTATTACATATTCTAAAACTAAAATAAATAACAAAAACATGCACCATCATTTATTTTTTAACATTTTATAGTAATAAAAAATCTTATAATTGAGTAGTATTGCCTCTCATTTGCTCTATCTGACACCCTCTTGGAGGTTTAACTCTAAAGAAAACTTCTACATGAATAATTTCTAGTCTACCAGCCAGTTAGTTTGAGGGACTAAACCTGAAAACATCTGTTAAAAAAAGACTTGAAAATATTTAAGGAATCTCTGCTGAGAAGCAAAAAATATAAATAAACAATAAAGTGGTCAAAGGAAGTTTGCTCTGTAACCATTTTGAATGAAAGTCATAACTAGATCCTATAAGCAGCGACCCAACCAATGCTAAACCCTTCTTACTTTCTAACACAGGCCTTTCAGATCATTAATAAAGCAGCATTTGCTCATGGCACTAATTATTGCGGTGGCCAGTGTGTCACAGCATCACTTCAAAGGACACCTCCTGAGCTGTTGCACTATTTCATACCCCGAGAGCTGGCTGAGATTATATGCTCTGTGATACAGCTGACAGACAGACATATAGATCTGTTTATGTCAGAGGCACATGCTATTGGAGAACATTACATAAAAGACAAATAGAGGTGACTAATACATTTCTGTTGATACTTTTGAACGTACTTCATGTCCAATTCAGTCAGCTAACATTCTGGAGACAGCTCCTCCAAACAATAATGATCTAAATCTGTTGGTAGTCCTTATTAGAGGCAGACCGATCCATTGGCCAGCCAATATTTTTGTATTTACTTCTTTTCCGGCATGGCTGATACTTTTTATGAATTGCTGCTCCTTTCATTAGCTATCCATTGTCAAATCTGTTGATTATTTTTTCAATTAATCGATCAATAATCAGATAGCAAAAGGTTCCTTAAAGAAGATTTTTTACTTAATCGAACAAGGTGAAATAAAAAATTTTCCACTTGAGGAGTTCTGGATAGAGCATTTTGACGGACGAATAATATTTCTTAAATGTAAAATGTTTACAGATTTGTTTTACAATTTAGACATAACAGCTGCTTAAGGTGGGTCATTCTGTCGGCTAAAGGCATGTTTTAGAGTCTCGATTAATCAATTACTAAATGAGATGATTATTTCAATTAATTAATTATTATTTCAATAATTGATTAATCCGATTAATTGTTTCAGGCTAAAAATTATGTTTTTGTTTTTTTTTTGTCTTAACTGAGTCATTTTATCATGCAAATGAAGGAAGTAAAGCAAGATGGGCTTCAGGAAGCCTGTATTTTATAGAAGTAAGAAAGATGTGGGTTGGTCATATATAAACTGTAAATTGTTGAACAGATATTTTTTAAACAAGATATCCAAGAAAAGGGCTGTTGCTATAAAAATGTTGGGATTTATTCTAGAAGGTAACAACTATTTAACTGAAACCCCCTAAACATATCGCTTTAATGCATGCTAACAGGACACAAATGTTTATGGGGTAAATTATTTAAAATTCATAATGAAAAGTCTTTGGATTAGCAGTGGAATAATGCACGAAGATGGAGTTTCACAGTTGTGAAGTTTTAACAGTTAGAAATTATGAATAGATAAGTGGCTATACCAGCTGTATATAAAAAGCAAAAATAACCTGACTTTTTCAAAAAACTCTTTCCCCATATAGAAAGCACTCACTGGCTTCAACATGGCACTTAAAAGCATAAAACCAAAAGAAATGTTAGATGTATGAGCAGGTGTGTGGAACCACTGAGCATGAGCGAAACCATAAGTGCATGAAACATATGGACACATAGTGCATCCATATGTGCTGTTGACAATTTATGGATTAACTGACAAGGGGGGGTGTTTTTGTGTCACTGCAGACGAAACAGTTGTGTGATTAATTGAAGAAAACCATCATTTGTTTTATTTAACGTTTGGAGGCAGCACAGCTACTGTATAACAGCTGGGATCACAAATTTCAACAGAAGATTTTTTACTTAATCGAACAAGGTGAAATAAAAATTTTTCCACTTGAGGAGTTCTGGATAGAGCATTTTGACGGACGAATAATATTTCTTAAATGTAAAATGTTTACAGATTTGTTTTACAATTTAGACATAACAGCTGCTTAAGGTGGGTCATTCTGTCGGCTAAAGGCATGTTTTAGAGTCTCGATTAATCAATTACTAAATGAGATGATTATTTCAATTAATTAATTATTATTTCAATAATTGATTAATCCGATTAATTGTTTCAGGCTAAAAATTATGTTTTTGTTTTTTTTTTGTCTTAACTGAGTCATTTTATCATGCAAATGAAGGAAGTAAAGCAAGATGGGCTTCAGGAAGCCTGTATTTTATAGAAGTAAGAAAGATGTGGGTTGGTCATATATAAACTGTAAATTGTTGAACAGATATTTTTTAAACAAGATATCCAAGAAAAGGGCTGTTGCTATAAAAATGTTGGGATTTATTCTAGAAGGTAACAACTATTTAACTGAAACCCCCTAAACATATCGCTTTAATGCATGCTAACAGGACACAAATGTTTATGGGGTAAATTATTTAAAATTCATAATGAAAAGTCTTTGGATTAGCAGTGGAATAATGCACGAAGATGGAGTTTCACAGTTGTGAAGTTTTAACAGTTAGAAATTATGAATAGATAAGTGGCTATACCAGCTGTATATAAAAAGCAAAAATAACCTGACTTTTTCAAAAAACTCTTTCCCCATATAGAAAGCACTCACTGGCTTCAACATGGCACTTAAAAGCATAAAACCAAAAGAAATGTTAGATGTATGAGCAGGTGTGTGGAACCACTGAGCATGAGCGAAACCATAAGTGCATGAAACATATGGACACATAGTGCATCCATATGTGCTGTTGACAATTTATGGATTAACTGACAAGGGGGGGTGTTTTTGTGTCACTGCAGACGAAACAGTTGTGTGATTAATTGAAGAAAACCATCATTTGTTTTATTTAACGTTTGGAGGCAGCACAGCTACTGTATAACAGCTGGGATCACAAATTTCAACAGAAGAGTTTGTCTCTTTCACATTGGGGGGACCCTAAAACTAAAGCTAGTTTTCATTTAAATATTATAAAATTAAATTTTTTTTTTCTGGATTTGAACATTTATCTTATTATTTTTTTTTTTTTACCATGTTTCATTTTTTGGATAGCTCTGACTTTAACTTTTAAAACGTCTAGCACTTCTTTCACAGTTTTCGAGGTGCTATAGTTTAAATGACAGGACTGGAAAACAGGAAAATATACAGTATGTATGCAATTTTCAGGTAAAAAAAAGCCAGTTATCTGTTTTTTAAATGATTTAAATAAGTTTAAGTGGAAAATCTGATGATTTGTATATTTCTGGTGGTTGCAGTTTTGTCAAAACTGTCTGCTGA